TTTTTTTTTTTTTTTTTTGAATCCCAGATTTGATTTAGTTGAAGTAATTACTTGTGTATTGGAGTAAATAGGATGTGAAAATTAGAAATTTACAGTCAAGTTTTAGATGAATATTTGAACTTGGCTTAGTCATAAGTTGGTGGTGAATGGACCTTGTTGCTTTGTCTTGTGATGTGACTGAAATATTTCGATTTTTTCACATGCTCGGATTAAAAAGATTATGCAAGCCGACGAGGATGTAGGAAAGATTGCCATGGTTGTACCTCTTTTAATGTGTATGTAATTTAAATTATCTAGTTTGTAATTCATTTGGCTCCTTTTTTTTTTTTCAGTTGATATATTTTATCTATTGCATGTGTGATGATATTAAATTATGTGTATGCAGCAAAACCTCATTCCATGAAAAGTCGACCACCTGTTCAATTCCCAGGGATGTCATTTGTAAGGGATGTCATTTGTACCAGGTACATCATATTTAAATGAAATTCTGAAAATTCAGTCTAATGTATTAATTGTTAGCTGTTATGCCAATGTGTATGTTTTGTGTTACATGTAGGATGGTTATTTAATCTCCTAATGAACATTACATTAAAATGTTAAATTGCTTTGCAAGTTCCTTTATCTGATTGTAAAGATTTGAAAATGAATTGGATGACCACCAAAAGTTGATAAATATTAATTTTGTAAATACATACGAACATGTTTAATGCGGATACTGCAGTGGAGTCTCATAATCATCATTGAGTTAAAATTTTGTTCACCCATCCAGGTTCTTGCTCAAGATAGATAAGAGTTCTGCTGAATATTGAATTATCAGAGGAACAATAATAACCTCATTTTTTGACCCTGCTTCTGATAAAGAATTCTCATTTACAGATTGGCTTTACTATGTCATATACATTTACTAACGGTAAATTTAGAGGATATTTCAGGGAAGTATCATAATTTTACTATAATGACAAGTAATTTGGACATGCTTTTATAATAAATATATTAATGTTTGGATACTTCAGGAAATTATCATAAATTTAAAGAGAATGCGGTAATTCATTTGTTTCTTTTGTGTGAATCCAACAGCATTGTTTTTCCTACAAATATGAGAGTGTAAATTGTTACATCCTTCAATTTTGCGAATCGGACGACATTTGTTTATATGGTAGGTCTTCAGTTTTGCTTTCTTTTTCATTGAGTATGTTGTTTGAGGTATCTAAATCATGTACATCTTTTCTTTCTTTTCCATAAGGAGGAGCTTTTATATAAATTCAGTTGCATATTAGATGTATATCTTCGAATTCTTTCTTGGTTCAGAATTAGTTAATGCTATCTTTTCTTGCATTAAGTTTTTTATGAATTTAAAACAGATAGCTAAATTAGAAGTTGAAATTTGACATGTGCATGGTGCATGTGGAATATAATACAAGTTAATAAACAAATCAAAATGAAGAGTTTATGCTTTGAAAAAATTGTTGTATTGAGGAGGCTTTTGCTCGAATGTTAGTAAGAAAATGACATTAGCACTTTACGCTCATAGTGAGCTTGTGTCAAAGAAGTAGTACCATTTTTCGGCCTTTTAAACCATGTAATGTTATTGCCAATTATAGTGTATTTGTGTACTCCATTAGCAAGACAAAATGATATGTTTTTCAGTCAACTTATTTCATTATGATTTTAGTTCTTCTTTCTTTTCATATAATTATTTTGTTTTGAACATGCAGCACGTTGGTGACAGGGTGGGTCCCCGCACTTCTTCGAGCTGGCAGAGGGATGACACTATGGAAAAACGCTAACAAAGAATCAACTCCTCTTAAGCTGGAACTTTGCATGTATAGGTGGTTTTGCATGTAAAAAAGATTTTGTATAGTGGCTAATTTTATTATTTTTTGGCCTCTTTTGTATGGAAGATTCCTTGAATTTTGTATTTCCAATCGGCTCTTTTAATTCAATGGCAAGTTAATTTACTGTTTCAGATAGCAAATATTGTAACACCCTGCTATGTCATAATTATCAGAGTAAATTTTTCGCAAAAGCTTTATAATTATAACGTGTTCGGTTGCGAAATCCTTAATCGGGATGCTACTAAAATCCATTACTTTGCTTTGAAATTTGTTATCTTTATTTTAGTTGAAGAAAAACGGATTATCATAAAAACTCGACATACTATAAACAATCCGACTTGTAAATCGAATCAAAATAGATAAGTTTAGTAGCGTCAGCGGAAAACATAGCGTGGCAAAACCTATATACAAAAACTGTAGAAACATGATCCCGAATCGCTCGTCAGCTCACACCTCCGGTCCGACTCTGTGACCTGAAAAACATAGATAAACATGGGGCGTGAGCACTAAAATCCACTGTGCTCCGTAGAAACTCATACTAAAGTAAACAGTGAATATAATTGCAATATCATGATCAATAGCATGTAGAAATGTGGTACCGGTACAATATAAAAACATGGCATGGCATGACATAGCATAACTACAATATCTGCCAACACAAACGTCCTGGACACCATGTGCACACTCTAGTGGGCAGATAAAGCCACTAGAACCTAGAATGGGTTTACGCACCTGGACCGGCTACCATTCTAAGCGGATACATAGCATGATACATACCTCGAACATGATAGAGTAATTATAATCAATGTAATACCCAGTCTGAGTCCCCACTTGAACCGTCGATATGAAAATGGTAGTGCTGATGACTGTAGACTGATCAAACTGTAACATGATATAAACAAATACTAAGTACTATGCTCAGACTGATTAAAATATCTGGTTAATATGTTAAGATGCTCGACTTGAACTTGACATTACACTTAGACTTAACCGGTATAACTGGAACCAGTATAAAACGAAACTGGACTGACATGAATTTACTGAACATGACCGGACCCAGAATTTAACTGAAATCCTGACATAAACATGAACCAAATCAGTAAATATTTAAAAATATGAGCTAAACTTGTCTGAACCGGCCGGTTCACTGATTGGCCGGACCGTCGGCCTGCTGTGGCCGGGTGGTCGGCCGCTAGCTTGGCCAACCGGCTCGGTCCCGCGCTGGGCCTGCTGGTGCCCGGGCACGGTCGCTGGCATGGACTGGGCTCGGCTTAGGCACAACCGGGTCTTACTGGTTGTGACTGGCACGGGCATAGGCGTCCGCGCACGCTGGCGTGCCACTGGGCACAGCCGGCGTGGACTGAACTTCGCTGGGCACAACAGGCGTTAGCCTGGGCCGACTGGACATAACCTCGAGCACTGGTGTGCGACTAGCGCAACTGGCGCTCATGGAACGACCATCGAGTGCAACTGGGCACGATCGACGGTAGACTGGACTCATGGCATGGCGATTGGCGCTGTCGGGCACTGTGGGTGTCGGCACTTGCGCGACTGGGCACTGTCGGGCGCTACCGAGCGCCACAACAGGCAATTGGGCAAATGGACGTGT